CTGAAAAAGGACGTTAAACTAGAATAATAATAATAATAATAATAATAATAATAATAATAAGCGGTAATGTGGAGAAAGCATTGATGAGAATCCTAGGTTCCCCACACCACACTGACGCCATCAGCCATGGCTCCATGCACATTTAAGAAGCACTAGCATTGCTTGTATCGCTTGTTGTAACATCTTCCAAACAAATGTGATGCTGTTTGCACGTACAAAAGAATAATATGTCTGTAAGCCAACATTCATATTGCAAAGTGCACATCAGCGAACTCAGTAATCACACATCGAATCGTGTAGACAATGTCATGTTTTCCTTCAAGGTACTGTACTGTACAGGTGTAGAAACCAAGCTATGGGGCATCTCGATAGTAATACAATAATGCCCAGATATACACGTGGCAGGACCATGAACGAAAGGGTGTTGCAAAGTCAATCTGTTCAAATTTCTGAGCAGACCTCAGAAGCTCTTAGCCAACAAAGAAGTGTGTTTCCAATCTTGAATTCGATTTGCGACTTTGCTTCGCCTTCAGGCGCTACTGAAGGTACATTGCTGGTATAGCGTTTTTAGAAATTGGTAAACGTTGTTTTTGGAGTGAAAGATTATAATGTCCTATGATATTACTAAGGCCTTGAATGGGAAAGAAGTGGTATTCGTAGTCGACTGGGCCTGAGCTGATTCGGACGCCCTGGGAAAAGAGATAATAGAGTCGGTATGAAGTGTATTATATTGGTGCCTCAATCATAGCTTGAGGAACTTCCGTCATCGGCCTACTATGGCGAGAAAATTGCGTTGAATGTGGTAAAGAAGCCTTCTATGGCGGATGTCAGAATGTTGCGCGTCATGTGAGCATGCGGGAGGCCTTCCGTTACTTGAGCGTTGGGATGTTGGTGATGGATCATGTTTTCCCGCCCAACGCTCCATCATGTTGAAGTGATTGAAAAACCACGCTGCCTGGGTCCGGGAGACTATGCAATCGCCCCTATCATGGACAACTTGAGCACTCGAGTAAATGCATCCAGCAAAGTCAAAGATATTAAAGCCCCGCAGACCCAAACAGCAGACTGAACGAATATTGGACGCAGGACAATGCCCCTGGTACTACTGCAAGTCGGCGTCTGCGGGCATGACGAAGGCAGTGTCTTCAAAATCTTTGAGCACATATTCGGCCAAGGCGTCTAGTTTCTTTCGTTGCACATGAAGCGCGCCTCCCCTGATATCTTTTTCGCGCTGACTCATATTGCTAAACAGGGAGGGCGCCTTGTGCTTCGGAGTTGGTCCTCCATTGCCGGGCGCTAGGCTGTCGGCTGAGGCGTCGCCCTGGACATGTGACGGGATACTTGAGCCCGGAGAAGCAACGTCGACATCTGGATATCTTGGGTCCCCTAGCCCCTCTGGTGAGATTCTGAATACCTGCTTCTTGCTTGGGGGGATCCTGCCAATAAGAACCAATAGGAGCTCGGGTTGCAGCAGACGCACTATGATGTTGCAGTCTTGGGTCTCGATGGTAAGCGTCTTAAGAGCGGGTTTCAGCGATGAATCAGGGGTGCCATTTCGCGCCGAAAGCTTTTGCCGCCCAGCGCAGTTGTCCTTCCATGCCATGGAAATGAGAGCAGCCTGGTCGCGGAGTTCCTTGGTTTGTACCGGCTTGGAGTAAGCTAGTAAAGTGCCATTTGGGGACATCAAGCTCCTCACGTTAGTCGAGTCGGGTGCACCGGACAAGCACAACTTACAACAGCCGCGGATATATGTTCTCATTGGCATTCTGCGTGAGCCAATCGCTCACTTTAGCGATGTTGATCATTGGTATACCTGTTCGGGACATGGTCAGGAGACTAGCAGTGTGTGCCGATAACAATGGGTGAGAAGCGGAGGCCTGGGTGTTTTGGGCGCTGCGCAGCGAATGCGAGGTGCTTGGGCAACGGCGGCGATTTGAATGCTTGTGACGCAGTGAAAGGCCCACGTACCTGGTCGATGGCTGGCGCAACCCCCTTCCTGGGCTGTTCTGTGCACCTGCTGGGCGGCAGGCGGACTCTTACCTGCAGATCAAGGAGTTGCTCAGCAGCGACCGTCAGGTGCGAAGACTGGCTTGACACAGCAAAGGGAGGAGGTTTAGTGCGCGTCTCTTGTTGGTATGCTGATGTCTACAATAGCCAAGTTTACCAGCCCCAAAGCTATGACCAGCGGCCGGAGCGCCTGTTGTTCCGTCGCACGTGCTCTCGTGAGCCTCGGATGCATCTACGCGTGTCTGTGTCGAGCCCAATACGGCGTGATATATTGTTATCCTGGTCTCGAGATGATGGCGAGGCGGGCTGTCGACGGACTATTGCGTCGCTTCATGTCGTCATTCATGTCCGCTCGCAGGCCGTGTCCACGTGACCTGTGCTTCACCGTGGTGCTGCAGCCAGATCCTCGTGGCATCCACACCAAATCCAGAGCATGCACCCCAGCCTCCCGAGACGCGTATCTTCATACAATATGTGATACATCTATTTGACTGAACGGCGAGCTGCTGCTCTAACAAACGCAAGATGGCATCACTGCTCCACGACGCTAAGTCCGAGTAAAAGCCGGGTGGTGGTGGTGAGGGGCAAGCCGCCAGCTCCACATTGGGTGACAGACGTCATTGGCCCCTTGATTCCTCACCCCTCAATTGCTCTGCCCTCCCTCGCTAGACAGCTCAATTCATGTTTTTCCTGCGCCCAGCATTTTCGCAGACATCGCGAGCACGAGCAACTACACTCACTGCATTTCGGCCTGCAAGATTAAGTCATAGCCCTAGTTTTCTTGTGCGAGCGCTAGCAACCATGACGACCAATCCAGCTGCGTACAAGCTCAACCATTCGATGTGAGTACCCGCGTGGCAATCTGTGCCACTCAGCACACACAATTGGTCCATGGCTGACCGTTTTGAGGATCCGTGTCAAGGATCCGAAGCGCTCTGTCCAGTTCTACGAGTTCCTGGGCATGAAGCAGATCAACCACATCAAGCAACCCGATGCCGGATTTGATCTCTACTTTCTCGCATACAATAGCCCCAAGGCTGTCTCGCACGCCAATCACTGGACAGACCGCGAAGGAATTGTTGAGCTCACACACAACTATGGCACCGAAAACGACCCCAACTACACGGTTAACAATGGCAACTCCGAGCCGCACAAAGGCTTCGGCCACCTTTGTATTTCGGTCGACAACATTCAAGCTGCGTGTCAGAGACTGGAGGATGCCGGTTACAAGTTCCAAAAGAAGCTCACAGACGGTCGCATGCGCCACATCGCCTTCGTGCTTGACCCGGATGGCTACTGGGTTGAAGTGATCGGCCAAAAGCCTTTGGAGGAGACTGAAAGCGTCAAAGACACCGACACCAGTACCTATCGCATGGTGGGTGGCACGCGATGCTCTACTATCGAGATGCTAACAGAAGCAGAACCATACCATGATTCGCGTCAAGGACAAGGATGTCTCTCTCAAGTTTTACACAGATGTGATGGGCATGAAGCTACAGCGCACATCAGAAAACGCCAGTGCCAAGTTCAACCTTTATTTCCTCGGATATGGTCCAGACGCGCCTGAGGCGACAGCTAACGGCGTCAATCCCCTTGCATCCAGCGAAGGCCTGCTTGAGCTCACATGGAACTACGGCACCGAGAACGACGCTGACTTCAAGTACCATAACGGAAACGACGCACCACAGGGCTTTGGCCACATTTGCATTGCTGTGGACGACCTAGAAGCCGCCTGTGCTCGTTTCGAGGAGAAGAATGTTACCTGGAAGAAGAGGCTGACTGACGGTCGCATGAAGAACATTGCATTTGTGCTAGGTGTGTCCTTATCTTTTTGATACACAAGCAAGAAAGCTGACGAATGTTGTAGATCCTGATGGTTACTGGATCGAGGTTGTGCAAAATGAGAAGCTCAAGACACGTAGTAATTGGTAAACGGACAGGGCCGACTATCCGTGCATGATGCACGCATCCCACGCAATACCATTGAGCCTCCAATGATCAAAGATGATTCTGGTCTAGCTGCTCAAGCTAAGCAATGCATGTCTTGGTACCCGCGACGGACGCTCTTTTTCGGTGTTGACAGGTTCTGTTTCATTGTTCAACATGTTCACCGCCATTACGGACCAACTGCGTTGTCCATGCACTGCGTGACTAGCAGTGAGTTGATTTGAGTACTTTCGTCCTCTTATTGTCAGAATTATAGCTCCAGCCCGCAGTGAGACGTACCCCGTGGGGTTAAAGTGCGGGGTAGCCTGTACTAATAATTCGGCCCATCACATCAACGCAGTCTGACGCAAGTTACAGTGGGAGCCCGATAGCGGCTCATCATGTGGCCTTATATAAAATGCCCAGTGTCTCATGTTTGGGATCTGAATGCTTGCCTTTGGCCTCCCGGATTGAAACATTCCAGGACGCGGACGACTGTGCTTACTCTTCACATATCCCATCCTACCCCATTTGAACAGGGTTGCTTCCGAATTTCCCGTCGACTTTACGGTTAGAAGAACAAACTTAGACAGTCTCACTCAAATGGCCATCCTTATGCATACCCGAAAGCCCAAAGTCCTCATACCGGAAAAGGTTTCACCAGATGGCCTCGCCCTCTTAAAAGACCAGTTCGAGGTAGACGAGAAGAAGGGCCTCAGCGCAGACGAGCTCAAAAGTATCATTGGTGAATATGACGCCCTCATTGTTCGCTCCGAGACCAAGGTGACGGCAGAACTTCTGGGTGCAGCCAAGAACATGAAAGTCGTCGCGCGCGCGGGTGTTGGTGTTGACAACGTTGACGTGCAAGCGGCCACTCTACATGGCATCGTCGTGGTGAACTCACCCTCTGGGAACATTAATGCTGCAGCAGAACATACCATTGCGCGTGAGTAGACCATGGACATAGGCGTGCATTTGCTAACCAAGAAGTGTTGATGGCTGTCGCGCGAAACGTGGGTGATGCTTCACAAAGCATCAAGGCCGGCAAGTGGGAGCGAAGTCGGCTTGTGGGTGTAGAAGCCAAAGGCAAGACGCTTGCCATTGTCGGTCTGGGTAAAGGTAAGGTAGAAGGATGCGTGTTCTGAATATCACTCACGTTTGCATAGTCGGTCTCACAGTCGCTCGGATTGCCAATGGTCTAGGCATGCGGTTGATAGCATACGACCCTTACGCCAATCCCAACCTTGCAGCAGCAGCCTCAGTGACGCTCAAACCCAGCCTTGCGGAAATTTTGAGAGAGGCGGATTTCTTGACACTTCATACGCCTCTCATCGCTTCGACAAAAGGCATGATTGGCAAAGCAGAGTTGGAGACGATGAAGCCTACGGCGCGGATTCTGAACGTGGCGAGAGGCGGAATGATTGATGAAGACGCCCTCGTCGAAGCTTTGGATGCTGGCAAGATTGCAGGAGCTGGTATTGATGTCTTCACCTCGGAGCCTCCGGAGCCAGATTCGTCGGCAACTCGACTAATTGCGCATCCAAAGGTAGTTGCAACACCCCACCTCGGTGCGTCCACCAAGGAAGCGCAAGAGAATGTCTCCATCGATGTATGTGAGCAGGTTGTCTCTATTCTTTCGGGTGAACTTCCGCGGTCAGCAGTCAATGCACCCATTGTGCTGCCAGATGAATACCGCACATTGCAGCCCTTCATCAACCTGGTGGAGAAGATGGGCAGCCTGTATACTCAGCACTACTCCAGCGTCAAGAGAGATTCTTTCCGCACGACTTTCGACCTGACGTACGAAGGCAAACTGGCGACCATCAACACCACAAAGCCTCTGTTTGCTGCGCTCGTCAAGGGATTGCTGACTCCGATCACTTCCAGCGATGGCCTCAACATCAACATTGTGAATGCCGAGATCCTTGCAAAGGAACGAGGTATTCTCATCAACGAGCAGCGTTCGCGCGAAGACGTCGAAGACAAACCGTACTCGTCGCTCATTACTCTACGCGCCCGCGCCTCGCGCTCAGTGTCACAACAATCGCGCTCCAACATATCGCAGTCTGGTGCGCGTTCAACGCAGGAGAGTACAGACGACGAGGAGCAAATCATCCAAGGCTCAGTTTCGGAAAACCGGCCCTTCATCTCACGCCTGGGCAAGTTCAAGGGCGAATTCGTGCCCCGCGGTACCTTGATCATCTGCCGCAACTTTGATTCCGTCGGCCGGATCGGCTATGTAGGAAATCTGCTCGGCCAGTCTGGTGTTAATATCAAGTTTATGAATGTTGCGCCGTTGGATGAAGAGGTGGAGGAGCGGCAGAATGGAAGTAAAGAGGCGTTGATGATCCTGGGGGTGGATAAGCCGGTGGGCGAGGATGTGCTCAAGCGGATGATTGGCGAAGAGGGCGTGCTGGAGGCGAGCGTGGTGAATTTCTGAGGTCTGTCGTGTGTAGGGATATGGTTAGGGACTTGATAGTTTGGTTTGGATGCGAAGCTCAACCTTCGTGGCTGAAATGAGAGTTGAGTTTGTGATGCGGTGCCAGTGTTGGATGGGATGTCAATGCTGTCGCGTGCAGCCGAACTCTGGAAATAGGTATCCCACCTTGGCATTGCTCGACTCCAACTTCTTCTTGACCTTGGCTTTCAACCTCTACATGTTGCGCGTCTTGATATCCAGATGCATCGTTGTCGAGACATGGACAGGCCATACCTCGGCATGACGTCATTCCGGGCCTGGACCCAGCGTGCGAGCCTATCAAGCGCGAGATTTTGTCGATGAGTGAGCATCTCCAACCATCCCCACTGCTTTGCCGATAGCGTCTCAAGACCCCAGAGCCTCTTTGATAGCGTAGTCTGGTTAGCAATGGCAACGGCAGTACTCTCTGGCAGCACCGGCCTTGTCGTACGTTCCACGCCGCTCTCCGCTCCCCAATCTCCCACCCGGTGAACCCGGACCTAACATCTCAGCTCAGGGCTCCAACATCCTTTCGACACTGCTCGCTCACCCGGGCTTCTCCTCCGTCTACGCCTACACCCGGCGCGAACTGCCCAATCCCAACGGCTCGACCAAGCTCCAACCCATACAGTCTGCCGACACATCCGCATGGAAGGCCCAGTTCCCCTCGGCGCAGCAACCCAAGATATGCTTCAATGCCCTAGGCACCACGCGCGCACAAGCCGGAGGCGTCGAAGCGCAGCGTAAAATCGACCACGACCTAGCTCTGGAGCTGGCCCAGGCGGCTAAAGCAGCCGGCACAGATGTCTACGTGCTCATTTCGTCCAACGGCGCAAATCCCAATTCGTATTTTGCGTATCCCAAGATGAAGGGCGACTTGGAGGAGGCGGTCAAGGGCCTGGGCTTCAAGCATACCGTCATTGTGCGCCCAGGCCTGATTGTCGGGGAGAGGAGCGATAGTAGGCCGGCGGAGGCGGCGCTCAGGAGCTTGGCCAAGGGCTTGAAGGGTCTCGCGGGGAGTGGCAAGCTGACGGATTGGTGGGCGCAGGATGCTGGGATGATTGGGAGGGCGGCTGTGGAGGCGGGAGTGAGGTGTATGGGGGGGAAGAGGGAGGAGGGGGTGTGGATGATGGGGATGGCGGATATCGTTGAGTTGGGGAAGCAGTAGGAGAGGGAGCATGGCGACGAGTACGAGTGACGAGATTATACCCGTTCTTACTTTTTTTCAATAGTATGCAATGTCTATGGAGCTCCTCATATTCAGCATATGAGCCAATGCAAGCAAGTACAATGACATTTCAATATAATCCAGCCATTCACGGTACCAGCATAACAGAAAAAAGACATCATTGCACCAATGAAAAACACTTAATAACACAGAAAAGACCATGCATCTCCTCCAACCCACCCACTACCCGAAAAGCGGAATTCCCCCTCTCCAAATCCATCATGTGTCGGCCAAAACGCATCCTTCTCCCTCAGCATACGTACATGTGCATGTAAGCACATCACCCCACCCTCGTGCCACCCGCACGGTAACCGAGTCATTGCCGCTCATCGGCGGATGCCGCGCGCCGAATTCCCCCCCAGCCAGCCAGCCAGCCAGCAAAAAAAGTATCACACCACTCTCTCACGACCACATCCCCCCCTCCAAAAAAAAGAAAAAAAAAGGAGAGGGCGATTGTAGAACCCCTGTATTGGGGCATTTACCTTAGCATCAGCATTCTGCGGAAGTAGAGCTGGCACAAGCTCAACAGGGCAATTCGCGCCGGGAATGCGCGACTGGGTTCAACGACGCAGGTGATCTTTTGCCTATTGCGGTAGTTTGGACACTTTTTGCCTGGGTGCGTGGGTCCGTTGCCGCCGCTGGCCTGGTACCCGGAGGGGGGTTGCGGTTAGCGGATGGCAGCGGGGGGGGGGCTATTGCAAGTAAGGGTAAGGGTAAGGGTATGTGTGGGCGTGGATTATGCATGTGGATGTGTAAGTAAGGCGAATCTCACGCGATGCCCAAGTGTTGGTGGTGCGATACGCTGGGATTGTGCGGGTGTTGTCTTTTCCCATGGGTAATAGCTGGAGGAGAGGTGGGTGTGTGAGGGTGAGGGTGGATATATAGGGGGACTGTTTGGGGGCGTTGTACGGGATTGAAGAGACACAGCAGCAATAGCAGCAAAGACTACTACGACTACGAAGACTACTACGACTACTACTACGACGACTATATCGGAGATTTGACAGAGCGATACACGATATATACCAGCAGCGAACACAGAATCAGCCCATCGAATCCAACCAACGATCTACCCAGCTACCAAAGCGAAAAAGTCAAACACATACACATACATACAACATCGAGACTTGAATCACACCAACTCAACTCAACTCAACTTGAGTCTCAAAATGCCCTCTCCAAGCCAAGCACGCATCATGTGGCGCAGCCTTGCGCGCGGAATGGTGGAACCACACCCGTTTGCCCGCAACCCCATTACCATGGCGCCGCATGCGTGGCGGGCGGGAGATCTGGGGAGACGACTTGTTAAGACGAGTTCAGTGTATGTTTTCCCCTTTACTTACTTCTTTACTTACTTATCCATCCATCCACCTACATACACAAACACAACGCTATATACATATACATGCAACTTGCTAACGTATTCCCCATGCAGATACTTCCCCTTCTACGCCGTCATCCTCGGCTGGCCCGTCGCCGCCGCCTGGTACTTCAACGGCAACATGTGACTCGCCGCCGCGAGGGCGGTATGGAGCGAGCGCAGAAAAGACGCGGCGTCCCGAAGAAAAGAGCATGCGAAGTCGCTGGATAGTAAGGAGGTGCAGGAGCTAATTATGAATATGCGGTAGGATGATTGAGATGTGGACTTTTCCTCCTAGTAGAGAGGGGGGGGGGAAGCCTGTTTTTGGGGCTTTTATTCTGATTGCATAGCATGGGGAATATAGGAGGGGGGCGTTACATTGTATATATGGGTGTGAATGTGGCGGGGCTGGTTTGGTCCTGCTAATATATTTTGTTTGGTTTCTTCGTTGCTTTGAGCACGTCTGGAGTGGCTGTTGCAGTGATGTCATGGCTTGGATTGCGGAGACTGACACCGAGGGAGAGAAATGGTACTTGGATGTGGTTTGCTTTACAAGTCCAGCACGATTCTTTCGACTCCCCGGCTGACGCAACTTAGCATCGTGTCGTTCTTCTCGTTGTCCTGCAGACCCGTCCCGCGATGCTCGATCCGGCCAGAACATACGTCTACCCTGCATGTCCCGCAGTTGCCTACCTCACACGAACTATCAATTTCCATACCCACGGCCCTGAGTGCATCAAGCAGAGACTGTGTGGCTCCGACTTGGATGAGCTTTTTGCTCTGCTGGAGCTCGGCTGTAAACGGATCCCCGGATGTAGTTACGGTAAAGGTTTCAATATGGATGGACGAGTCAGGGATTCCGTACGTCTTTGCAGTGTGGACGACATCGTCCATGAGTCGAGCTGGCCCGCACGTGTAGATGTGGGTTTGGTCATCGGCTTTGGCCAGCACGGCCGAGACATCTAGACGTTGGCCTGCGGACTTCTTGTAGATTGTAGCGTGGGACCCAAGAGCATCCATCTGCGCTGCAAAAGGAACTTCATCAGCGACAGCGTAGTGGAGATGAAATTTTTGCTTGGTTTCCTGGAGATGCTTGAATGCCGCCAAAAAAGCAGTGATTCCAATACCGCCTGCGATGATGACGTGGTGGTCGGCTTCTAGGGTAAGTGGAAAGCTGGCTGTTATGCGTCCTACAGTCAGAATGTCACCGACTTTAGTTTGCTCGTGCAGATACTTGGAGCCACCGCGGCTGTCAGGATCGAGAGCAACTCCGACTTCAAACCGCTTGCATGTTCCACCAATCACCGAGTAGGCACGCACCAACTTTCCGCCTAGCTTCAGGCGTACATGGCTACCTGGCTCGACGGGCAGAGCGTTAGCCATACCCTCGGTAGCCTCAAATGTGAAGGCTGTAACACACTTCGTTTCTTTCTTCTTCTCCAAAAGGCGATATTCGGTCCACGTCAAATCCTTTTCGTCCTCGCCGCCATACAGTCTGCCATTCTGATCTTCGGCTACGCCCTTGTCAAGCCGAGTCTGGAACTGTTGCTTGACATCCCGGCCCAGCTGCGGTAGCTGGACAATTTCTTTCATCATCTCGACATTGTGCGTCTCGAGAAATAGATGATACATGACACGCGCTATTGTCCACTCGGGATGCGGACGCTCCAGCAGCGAGATCATGTCTCCAGCTTCGATAGTTCCCGGTTTGATAATGCGATACAACCAGCCAGTGCGCAGCAGAGTCTGAGTGCGCTTTGCCATGTTCTTGACCTCGAAGCGGTGGTTGAGCTTGTAGCAGGGTCCTCGCGGCTCGCTGACTTCAACTATAATGTCTCCAATGGCGAGTCGGTCGCCAATACAAAGGTTCTTCTCGTTGACTTCCTCGTTGAACAAATTCTCGCCAAAGGCTCCGGGCTTGAAGTAGTGTTCCGACTCTGGCAACTCTTTTTTCCACGCATCGTAGTGCGATGTGCAATAGTGGAGGAGAGCCTTGTCGGGACTTCTATGCAGGGGGTATGCATGTTCATCCGTAATGATGCCTATTTCAGATATCTCGACAGGGCCGGCCAAGGGGCTTTTGTAGATTGCGGATTCAAGCTTGCCATTCCAAAGCGACTGCTTCACCCTTCCCGCGCGCAGCTGGATGAGTGGAAAGGGAGTGAATGGAGGAGGGTTCTTGAGAGTGTTGGGGTCTGGCTTGGGAGGAGGGATCCAGGCTGAGGATGTCATGGCGTAAGGTAGCTCGTCTGAAAGGTTACAATTTTGAGGGGTTAGAAAGACTCGGATGCTTTGTTTTCCATGTCCCTGCGCAGCCGATGCCGTGTTATGCAAATGAAACGGCCAACAATGGAGGCTATAACCAGAGAACGGATCATGTGATAAGTGTCTGGAGGGTCTGACTCAGCCTGTGTGGATTCTTCTGCCCACCATAGTGGAAGCTGTGTCTAGACGGTTTTGTTGATACTAAGCCAAAGCTGAAATGATAATGATGCATTAGGTAAAACGGACACTCGGGACGGGGCAATTAACAGCGATCCCAGTGGAGGCTGAGAATCAGCACTATCCATGGTGAATTCGGTGGGGTTAGTTTCGACTGATAAAAGTGGCCAGGCTCGTCTGTCTGGATGTCAAAGTGGAAGGTGATGAGTGCAGGTCACGGGTTTGCGGGGTAGGTCCTCAGGCAGTCTGCATATCACGTGACCATGGGTGCCTCGACAGCCTCTCGAATAGTGACGTCAGACGATCGTCGTGAGAAGCGTCGCATCTACTCGTCACATCGGGCCCAAGCTGCCCCAGAGTGCGTACCTCAACAAAATCCCATCCACGTCAACTTTCTTTACTCAATTGACCACCTCAAAGCCTTTGGAACTTGACCGAATTACCTCAACTGAACAAAAAGTCGCAATCCCATTCTCAACATGTTCCGTATCCAACCCGTACGCGCAATCCAACGCGTAGCCTTTGCCCGCCCTCCAGCTGTCGGTCCCCGGTTCCTCTCGACGACTCCCGCGCGGCTTGCGCAAAAAGACGCGCAAGACAAGGACTCGCTCAAGCCACGATCGACCGAGTACTCCAAGTCTGGCTCGGACGATGGCGCGGCACACTCTGAGACAGCTTTCGACCCTTCAAAGACATCTCCCGAGGAAGAAGAGGCAACATCTGAGCGCGAGGCTGGCGGGCCAAACAACAGCATGAATGTGAGCCCGGGCAACAAGGACATTAGCGAACCCAACCGCCCTGACGCGGGACATGGAGGCGCACCGAATAAGAAGAGCAGCGGGGCGGGCAGTGCGCCAAAGAACAGCACTGGATGAGCGTTGAGAGTATGGTTGATATCTTGGGTGTATGGTCAGCCAGTGAGGGGTCGCGTGTAGGCTGGCGGCCGCATGAAGGATACAAAACAATTCATGGCGTACTGGGGCTTATGGGATTGTAGTTACTCTAGCTGGAAGTACTTTGATCTAGCATGGAGATTGTATATACTGTGCAGTGACGAGGGCAATTGACGCGTTGTTCAACCGTTTGGCGTTCCCAGAGCATGCTACTCTATGTTATCGTGCCCAAGTGTCGTTCCTTGAAGCCTCTGCGGTCTGCTCGGGGGCTAGCCTCAGTGTGCGTTCACGTCATAGTGCGCAATGACGAGATTGCGGTGGAGCAAAGACGCCCGTCAACAGGTGTGTTACCCGGTGACGTCACGGCCAAGGACGAGGGTTTAGTTGGGACTCGACCCTCGACATGCAGCAAAACATTTTTCTGCACACGCAGCACCTCCAGCCATTCCTCACGCATTGCTTGGAGCATTCAAACATTACCTCCCAATTCCACGTCCGACTCTAAACATCGACCATGGCACCCCGCGCCATTGTTAGCGTGATGATGCGCCCGGTCCGCACACCCATGACGCTGTCGGCACGGCGGAAGCTCACAACTACGCCACGCATGGGCATCAAAGAAGACGCAATTCGCAGCGCGGACCAGGTCGAGCAGGCAAAGCAGGATCAGCTCAAGGAACAGGCACAGGGCAAGGGCCGATGGCGCGAGGATCTTGCCAGCTCGGGCGAGAGCAGCATTGCGGCAGATCGGCAGCAAGTCGACGACCACGGCGAACACATGAAGGAGCTGCAGCACGAGGGCAAGCAAAAGGGCGAAAAGGGGGAGTTGTAAGCTGGCGGGCGGCGGGCGGCGGGCGGCTGGCGGCGGGCGGCATGGAGACTGGGGAGCTGTTCCGGGCCTCCGCGAGCGCCGGTGGCTGCTAGCGGCGTGGTTAGGTTGCGGCGGCTGCATGGAATGGCAATGATGAAGATGACAATAGACAGGATTTGTACATTATACAGCAACATGTGGCAGTGGGTGCATATGCCAACGCAGTCTACTTGTACTTGGTAGAGTCTCGGCCAGAGCCGCCATGCATGGGGTTGCTGTGGCTGTGCAAATGTGCACGCGGGCACGAGCTACACCTCCAGTACATGCAAGCAGTTAGCGGCATGGCAGGAAATTTGCATCCACATGTGCGTGTGCATGCATGTCGACGGCAGTTGTTGCTAGACTGGCTGTGGCTGCGGACACGAAGGCGTGCCGGTGGTGCAGGGCGGGTGCCAATCACGACGGCGCCACAGCCTCGCCCACCCTCGCCTTGGCCCAGCCTCGTACTTGTCGCGCATATTCCCTCTTTCACTCTCCAGTCCTGCCCGGCGTCTGCTCTCTGCTGTCGGCCGTCCAATCCCCACGGCAACATGCCTCCGAAATCTCAGCGCAGCCGCGCCTGCTCGCAGTGCCGCACCCGCCGCGTCAAGGTTTGTGCATCGCATGCCACGGCATGCTGCCCGTATGCCCATTGTGCAAGGTATTGACGGCTGCATTCTAGTGCGACGAGACGCCAGAGACATGCAACCAGTGCCGCCGCCTGGGCCTGCCATGCTCGGGCCCGCTGCAGGGCTCCATCGTCATCGACATGACGGAGCGCGTGCTGAAGCCCCGGGGCCGCAAGAAGAAGGAGACGGCCAGAGCAGCGCCGCCAGCAAAGAGAGGCGCGGATGCTGCTGTGTCGGATGCGCTAAACAAGACGATTGCGCCTCTCCATGCCATGGTCGACAACGCCATCTTCTCCACCGAGCCCCAGAACCCCGACGAGGTGGCCAAGGCCGTGACCGCCATCCGCTACCACTACAGGCCCCCTACCTTTAGCCAGCCGTCGAGAGCCCTGCCAGAGGCCCTCGACAACGCCTTTCTGGCCCATTATGTCGCGCTGAACAAGGGTACCGGCTCGTATGCGCCCGAGATCCAGTGGCTTGCCCACCTGCCAAGCATCTATCGCAAGGCCAACAAGCCCGCCGTCCGGCTCTCCCTCCGCGCAGCAGCCATGGCATTCTACGGCAAACACCACCAGGACTCGAGCATCATCGTCGACTCGTGGAGATGGTACACGGTCGCCCTGGGCGCCCAGCGAGCCTCGATAGCACACATGAAGAAGAACGACATACCCGACGAGGAAGAAGTCTTGGTGCCTTTGATTCTGGCTCTCTACGAGCTCTATGTCGGCGCGACCGCCACCGGCTCCTCGGCCCACTTGAATGCTGCCAGCGAAATGATGAAGATGCGAGGGCCAAGCAACTGCAAGTCCAGCACCATCTGGCCTCTCTTCAAAGGCATACGCAATCAAGAAGTATGTGCAACACGTGCCGTGCGCCGCCCCACAAGTACACGCTGATGGCTTCTAGGGGCACAGGGCAGTTGTCTTCAACAGGAAATCGGTCTATTCCACCCCGGACTGGCTGACCATCCCATTCATCGACATGCCCAAAGATGAGCACCAACGCCTTGCTGATATTGAGCTCATGATTCCCCACTGCACCGCTTACCTAGGCACCCAAGGCTCGTTGCGCGTCGTGCTTGACACCCCGATACGACCTGGCGTGGATGTTACCCCCGGTAAAGAGCTTACATGCAAATTGATTGACGATCTTCACAAGTGGGCCACAGACTATCCGCATCTAACCAAACCCTTTAGCCTTCCTGCCAAGCCTGCCAATCGAGGGCCTTTGTCAAGACCAACCAAAGAGAAGCGGCCAAAGTCGCAGCCGCCCAGTGTGGATATGGCTCTTATTGGTTCATACTATATGACAATTCGATTGGTGCTCAACATGCTCATGTACAAGATGCAAACCGAGTCTAACGCTCCACGCGCGCCCTACGAAGGCAGCACTGAGCACTATCTCTCTGTAGCGCACCAAGTGTCTCACGACATACTCAAGGCCGCATCCGATCTTGAGAGAGCAAAAACCGGTGGGTTTGACCTTTTGCGCAGCATTACCCCGGTAGTAACTGCCAGTGTGGCTGCTCCGACAATAGAATTGAAGCAAGAGGCAAAGGCAACGATAATCAGATGGGCAAGCAAGGTCAGCGGCCTTACTTCAGTCTTGGAACGCCTATGATCTCACGCCCCAGACCTAAGAGTCGCTCTGAGAATTGACACGAGCGCCTGAGAAATAAAGCGAACAGGAGAAGCCAATCATCTGGCTCTGCTGTTATGTTACAAAGCTGGACGAGACAAGGAGAGCTTCTTTGTCAGGCGTCGTGGTCTTTGTCAATCACAAACTCACATGACCCCTCTTTGTTCACTGCGACCCGCGAGCGACTTGGACCGCAAACAATGTCAGTGTTCCGGCCATGAATACGAATGAACAATCAGTCAAATCGCCATCTTCTAGCCTCAACTTTGACTCGAGCCAACTGAAGTCTTCGCATCGTCTTGAACTAAACCTAGGAATACCAAAGCCATGGCACCCAGACCATTGCCCAACACGGGTAACGATGCACCAGCGATGCAGTTGTTCGGTTCGCATGAACATCGCATGCAAGTCAGCAGAGCCACCAAAGAGCGGCTTGTAGGGAAGAACACAAAATGCGAAAACCGGACTACTGCAGAGACAGCAAAAGGAAAGGCTCGACAAGAGAAGTGGGAAGCGCCTGCACGCCGCCTGGTATTTGATACTCCACCTGCTGCTACAGTAGGATGTAGCAATCCAGAAGAACGGAAACCAAGCAATAGTCTGCTCTCACCTGTTCAGCTCAAACCTTGCCAAGCTCCATTGCCCCAGCCTTCTTCATGTCGAGATGGCACGCACAATGCACGAGCATCAATACCGCTGCTTTCGCCACCGCCGTCATTTCAACCTTTTCAATCTCGATACAGCACAAACAACACATGGTCGACCCCGCCACAAACGCAGCAGCCCCTACCGCAAACACCATTCCATCCATCCGTTTCCTCAAAGCAACCTCGCCATACTACCCTCCATCAATACCCTCCACGCCTCCAAACACCTCTCAAGAACAATGCGCACGAGACGTTTCACCAAGACATAGGAGACTGGATATCCCCTCCCGAGCATCCCCACGGAGCCGAAATCAATGAAATCATGCACCTTTTAGAGGGCGAAATGGCGCTGTATGAGATGCGAGAAATGTACGAAGAAGCAGCTTGCAGGAGATTGCAGGCGCGGTACAATGCAAGGATTTGTCGGCAGCGGCGAGAAGTGCTGCGGATTAAGTTGGGGATGGAAGAGCGGCGTAAGCGGGAGGGTGCGAGTTAGGAAGCATGGAGGTGTAGTTGGTTCAGCTCAGACTTTGCCGTTGGCATTATTTCCGACTGTGCTTGGCATGGCGGTAATGATGCTCGACAGTGTCTTTGTATCCTGGGATGAGGATGGGTAGATACGAGTCATGAACCCCGATCACAACAGTAATCAGCGATACCGAGTAAACGTCTCAGCGTCTTACATATCGGACTCTGCTCTTCTCCTACACACATTAGCAGCCATGATGTGATGCCCTACGGCTCTCTCCGCACTAGGCTCAAACAAACACGGACGCACAGTCATGCGGGGTGAGGGCTTGTAACTCGCAAGCCGCGATATAGCTTTGTTGGCAGAGTTTCTAGTGCATAGGCGTCACACACACCAACTTTTAAGCAGAAATCTTTCATCAAAACTCGTCAATTTTCTATCAGATATAGGGGTAACACGTCGCGAGAAACCGATTTACGCCACCTCTAA